TAGACAGAGACATGACATGGCCTATCAAGGGATCTTCTCTTTAGGTTTTGTTGCTACAAATAAACTGAGTCATGTTGTTGTTAATACACATAAAAGGGTAAAACATGTTAATACATGAACAATTGCATAGAGGTTCTATTGCTCCTGATTGAAAGTGATTAGTTTGCTTCAACATGATGTTTTCATGAAATGGAAACATGTGCATTAAGCAAACCCTTTGGATTACTAGAGAACCATGTATATTACTTTTGAAGTTTGATAACAAATGTTCAACGTAAAATGATCATGAGTTTAGTCAGCATTCAGAAAGGTTTCTGATAAATCTGGCCAGCACTCAGCAAGTAATTTTCCAACTCTTTCTCACTGTCATTGACATATTTCCCCATACCTACCTTTCACCGTATGTCAGAATCTGTCTTCCAATGTCTTCTGATACTACCGCCTGTAACACAAATAAATTATAACTGAAAATGAGGTTATAAAGAAGATGAACAATGATAAAAGATAGATATGGTAATAAGGATAGTACTCTTGATTCCAGATTCATCAACACTGCAGACTTGGTCGACTCTTTAGCTCGATCAAGCTGTACCTGGTCAACTGCAAAAAAAAAAGAGAAGGAAATGTATCAGACAAGTCACAATTTTGAATACAAATTTTCAACAGCAAGATAACAGCACAAACCTTGACCAGGTGTTGCAACTGCAAGAAGCTCTCTGGCTACCAAATCAACAGCCTTGGAGACGAATTCTGGCCCCTGCAAGAAGGTATTAAATAAATGACTGGCCAATAAATAGATCAAAACTTTTAAACAAACACAAACGGAAAACTTAGAATTCTTTTTGCACTTGGCCTTCGAAGATGAAATAGAAATACAGGTTAATTTTAATCCAAAACAGAAGCCACTTTAGTGATGAGAAACTCATCTGAACAAATTCATGCATATATCGAGAAAATAAGATATATAGTTTACCAGCAACCAAAGTAAAACAGAAAGAAATGAATACACACAAAAAAAATAATAGGATCGAGTATTGCCACCAAGAAAAAAAGTCAATTAAATAATTTTACAAGTCTCTTATTTATGCTTCGAGCAGTCACCAGAGATGCTGCAGCACTAAAGTTAAATTGCTAGGTTTTGTAGTAGGCTTTACTTCAAAATCCAACATCTATTATTTTTTGGGTTGCCACTTGGGCACATCAGGCCCCATCTAGGGGTGGTAGATTGCCACAGAACACGAATAGACAATGGATGCATAAAGGGCCAAAACAAGTTTAAAATTCTCGAATTGTGGGAAAGGTATCTGGATACACACCACCACTCATTGGTTGGGTGTAAAATTCAACACTACAAAATATATTAAAAAAATTTCACTGACAGATAGTTCTAAGCCAGAAGTCTTATAATAAGATTGCTTCATGATGGTCAAATGGTGGATTCAGGCAACTTCTCACACATTAAAGAAAAAACTTGAGACTAGAGACGGAAGCGAACATTTGAAAATATTGTGTTTCTGTTATCCAAGACTGATTTCTCCCAACAGATTCATGAATGTTCAACAATACAAAATCCAGCATTTAAATATATTTAGATAAGACATGCATGTCTAGTTTTTTCACCAAAAGGGAAGTCAATAGGAAATGAACCCACAATCTGATGAAGCTGATCCAAGCGATCGTAATCCTAAATCCTAGATTCACTCTGACATTGTGTGAGTCCTAATTTTGCTCTATCATGCCAGCCATAGGAAATTATACTCTAAACAAATGAAGCAAACAATGACATCAGAAACAAAGATATATGGCTAAGGAGAGCAATAGCTGTTGATGTTGCCAGTTTTGTCATACTGCTAAGCATAACAAAAGAGTAAACATAATGAAACCTAAATACTAACAAAATTTGAGAATGAAAACATGTATGCAACGAGTTGTGCATGATAGAAATGCATTATAAGTAACCAAAAAATGCAACGAGTTGTGCATGATAGAAACCTAAACACTAACAAAATTTGAGAATGAAAACATGTATGCAACGAGTTGTGCATGATAGAAATGCATTATAAGTAACCAAAAAATGTAACTAATAATTGATGGCAACTTTGAAAGAACGATAACAAAGAGCAAAATTAATAAAGACAAAGATAAAGAATTGTATGTATATTCTTGTGTCTTACTGTGGTTGCATGAATTCCAAAAATTCCAGTATGGTTGTAGATACTGTTGAAAGCTGAGAATGACTCAATCTGTTGGAATTGATTTAAGACATGTAAATCTGCATATAATAAATCATGGAAGTTGTAAACTCAAAATTGGAAAACTTAACAGATAAGTTGCACCAAGATTATTATCCTGGTACCATACCTCAAAGATGTGTATTTTTGAAAATCAAGGAATTTCAAGCAAACCCAGAATAAGACTACAACATAACTTAGAATATTGGTCACTTACACAAACGAGAATGCATCCCTTTTCCAGGTCCACCAGCAGAAAATGATCCACCACCTCCCATAAGCATCTGGAAAATACAATATCAATGTGAATGATATTCTTGGAAAAACCATGAGCCAGATAAACAAGATTCAAATGATGCACTCTCCAAATATTAAACTGCAGAGTTAAGTTGCCTCTTAAACCTGAAGAACTGTTAATGCCATGGCTTCCTTTTCCTTGTGCCAACCTCCTGGAACCTCGAATGCAAGTGCAATATGTGTTTTCTATTTTTGAGAAAAAAGTTAAATAAGAAAGAAAACAAGATAATTTAACTGTGATGAATGCCCAAGAGATACATATTCAATTGACATACATACCGATGAATCTGATTGGCATCTATATTCTCCTCCAACATAGACAGATTTTGGCTCTTCCAGGCGAGGCACTTTGGGAAGATCAGATAGAAGTGGTTCAGCAATTGATACTAGTTCCTCATGTTCCACACCCGATGCTGCAAGTACCATCCGAGGAGCAGTGTAATTCTCCTGCAAATGTTGCATGGATAGTCAAACCACATCTAGATCTTTAACAAAAATTGAGGTAACACGACAGGATAATTTATTTGACTTACAGCAACAAACTCTTCCAATATGGTCTCATTTAATCTGTTTATGGCAGACTCTGGAGCAATCAAAGGATTTGCCAATGCACCAGAGTATGCAGCTGAATGAATAGCCTCCAAAAGCAAACCCTGAGGATTGCGAGAGAGTTCTCCTAGCTCAGCCGTCACTTTCTTAAGCTGAAATTGCAAAAAGCCAAATAGTTCACTCTTTAGTATCATAAGTTGCCATGTGCAGAGGATGCATTCATAATTTGGAATACCTGTTCATTAACCTCCCAGTCAAGGAAAACAGCATTTCTAACACAATCTATGAGAACCTCAACCATTTCAGGCATGTATGTTTTCAGAGCATCATAAGTGTAACCGATCTGTTCACGGGAACCTGATGCTGTAACACTTCCACCGATGGCTTCTATTTCACGTACAATGCGCAAATGGCTTCTATTTTTTGTTGATTTAAATGCCATTCGCTCCAGCAAATGTGTCGCACCAAATGATGAAGGTGTCTCATATATGGAACCACAGTCGACATACAGTCCTACGGAAGCAACCGGGCTCTGAAAAAATTAATCTGATAAGTTTACAGTAACTAGTGAAAGAAAGCAGGTCAAGTATAGCAATTATCAGAATACTTGACTAGAAACACACCGGTGATGTCTCTGAGGCAATTTTTAAGCCATTAGGAAGGGTTGTGATCTTTGTCTTGCCTGGCTCCACGAAATCAGGTAGAGGAGGAGGAAGTGACACGCCTGGAAGTGGAAAATCTAGAGGAGGAAGTTGGCTGGAACTTCCCCCAGTTAGCCAGCTAAAGAAACCTCCAGAAGACCTTTGGGCAATATTGGTGCTTGCATATCTAGCAGCAATACCAAAGATCCTGGCACCATCTGATCGGCGCTGTGACAAAAGAATAACTAAATTCATCCACTAGTTTCATCAAGATAATAACATTAGATTGAAATTTTTGTATGACAGAAGGAAAGGTCGATATGATGCTGTAGATAACAAACAATTTTAACAAGCAAAATGATTTTTTTTAATCTAACAAAATTCCTGTACCAGAATATTAAATAACAGAATAAGATTCGTGAAGTTTATCGCTTTTCTAATCGCTTGAAGTTTTCGAACTTCAAGTAGAACGACAGATACTTTGATGTCCATAACTGATTCATTCATAAACTTAAATCAAAATGGAATTTTTGTACATCATCAATTTCATCTCTCCCAGATCCAGGTGCGATTGCATCGATCATCAAACACATCACATTACCGACTATTCTGAACCCAACAGTTAATCAAACATTAAAGAGAAATTAAACGGAAAACACGATTCATCATAGCCTACCGATCCGTTAAACAATTATAAGACCAGATCAAGCGAAAAAAAGAGAAGGGCATAAGGTGAATCTAGAAAGGGAAGAGAACGAGGAATTAAGGAGGGTCAACAGACCTTGAGGGAGTTGAGACGAGATCCCACAGCTCGGTACATAGTGGAGAAGAACCGAAACTTAGATCGAAGACTGCGACGAGATTCGCCCTTCTTTTCCCAGCGGGGAGACGAGGAGGAGGCGGAGAGATATTAGGGACGGTCTACTGGTTAAGGGAGATCAGCGACTAAGCACGTGAGCTATTCGTCGTCGCTGCATTGCGCCATAGCCTCTCTCGGCCGTCCATCTTCAAATACGATTGGCTGGGAGCCGAAGGATCATATTGGAGAGAGATCGAACGATCGATCCGCCCGAACACCGACTCCGAACTCGATAAGGGACTCGAGGGGCCGAAACCCGAATCCGATTGAAAAAGGCGTAAATCCACATCTAGTAATTGGTAGTCCAGCTTGCAGCTAATCAGATATTTTTGGAGATTCTTAATTCCAACATTTTTCACATTAACATTTGCAACAAATTGCCCAATAAAACAGAACAGGCAAATAGTGAGCTCCCTCACAACATTTAGTTTGCAATCAAGCATTCCATTCATCGAAGCTTTAACCAATTACACGCAAAGATCCAACACACCAAACAAGATCTGAAGACCTGAGCTCATGTTTGTGCAGATAGATACAAGAGAGAAATTAAGCAGGATAAAAAATTGAATCAAATCAGAACCAATAGTTCAGAGAGCAATACTTTACAGTATCAGCATTGGTACTGAGATTTTTAAAGGACATCCAAAAGAATTCTCTCAGCGACAACCGAAACCCATGAGAAATCCCTGACAAGAGATCACTATTCCTGATCCAACAGCAGCCAGAGGAAGCTACAGCAGCCGAACGGATGGAGGGCGATTAATCGCTTTCCTTGTGTGTGTGGATAATACAATCTGCCCTTGGATACGAGATGCATGCCAGCAGGTAACCTTTCTCCAACTGTGATTCATCAAAGGAAGGATCCATCAGACTGATCAACAGCACCCGACACAATCTGGCCAGCGCATGTAGAACATGCCCCAGCTCTGCAAGAGTAAGGCAGGTCAATGCCAGCACTCTCAGCTGAGTCCAGAATGTAGGTATCTTCTGGAGCATCAAATTCATGCTCCTCTCCCCGTGGCCAAATGAGCTTGACCTAGTAGACAGCCATGGCAGATGCCCTGAAGCAGTTGGATATCTTAAGGCTGGATGCTTTTGAGATACTCTCCAAGGAGCCAAGTAACAGAGGATTCTTTATCAGGAAGAGGAGGGCAGGTTCTTGATGCTGCATTTGAACACGGAGTTGGATGGGCATGTAACAGTCGACAATGTATCTGCTAAAGATGCCAAAAAAGGTTCTGTCAAAATCCGTCTTGCTAAAAACATCCCATCAATCTCATGGTTTGGACTTCAGTGGGGAACACATCCAGATGATGAATGAAATGACATCCTAAGAAAACACTTTGCATCTACGCATGAGATCTATCATCACAGTGTACACACAACACAAGATTTTTGACAAAAGAAACAAAAAATATATTTTTTCAATGCCAGAAATATTCCAAGTAAATTGGCCTTCAACAAGTTCATAATGCAGACCAATTTGCACAGGAGAATAAATGTTGAAATATCTATCAAGTAATGTGTTGAAAGTGACTTCAAGAAGCTAAGATTTTTTTCACACGGTCAACATCAGAGAGTTCTAACTTTTCCTTTACAATGTAAGAAATGTTACTCCTTGTCAAAGAACAAAAACAAAACTACTAGTTTACTAGAGTCGAAAATCATGTTTGCCTTGCACTGTGATGCAAGGGCAAAAAGGGACTTGACCCAATTTGCTATTATAGGAAAGGCAAACTTGCTGTATGGAGCTGTATGAGAAAAGCAAGTATTTACCAACTTGCCTTTCACTCGAAGCTCCAGAGAAACAAGCTAAATCAAGTTTATGAAATTTGTAGAACAAAATGCTCTAATTCACATCTAGAAACTATATGTTAAGAGAACAATAGGATAACCAACGATTATTCCACCCAGAAAGGTCATATGGCCATTATTTTATCTTAGTACTAATATATTGTTTAATTAATCTTATAAGTGCACAAAACACCAAAATTCAATTCTCTTGTTTCAAACTCTCTACGCAGCTTTTCCACCATACTAGTAATCATAATCAGTTGCAGCACAAAATTGTTAATTGTCCTATTCAAAGCAAAACCTACAAAGCCAAAAGAGAAAAGATATCACTGCAAAGACATATAACACCATTGGAAAAACAATTGCATCGTCAAATACAGTGGATGATGATGGTGACTATTCCCTTGTTTCCTGCTTAGCATATTTAAGTAAATTCTGCTGGATAAGTTACAGCTTCATCTTTGTTTGGGGGATCATGAGAAAAACATTAGTGCCCCAAAAAAAACACACACATTCCAACCATTATAGACATAATTATGAGATCCTAACATTGTAGCAAATGACAGAAGTCCAAGATGGAATAACTGAGCCACACTGATAAAAATGTGGTCTAACATGGCACTACAAGTAAATTAGACTATGCAAATTGTTTCTCCTTTAGCTAACTGCTGACACAAACGAACACCAGCCTGATTTTAGATTTCCATGCTCAAGTTGTAACTATAGCTCAGATCAAGCCTAAAATAAACCAGATCATAGATAATTTTGAATCATCTAATATCTGACATCAAATGCAAGTATCGAAACCACTAGCATCATGCTCAAGTTGAAACTAGCTCAGATCAAGCCTAAAATAAACCAGATCATAGATAATTTTGAATCATCTAATATCTGACATCAAACGCAAGTATCAAACCACTAGCATCAGCAACATGATTAAGTTGATCCATATCTTAATGAAAAACATGTAAAAAAAAAATCCAAACTTTCACTAGATTTTCATAACAAACAATACAAAGATCAAGATGTGAAGTTAAATAAATAACTTCAAGGACTAAAAATGCACATCTACCCGCAACGTTTTCATGAAAAGACCACCTTTACAAACAAAAAGTTACGTTGCAGATCTCACAGCCTATTTTTCTTAAAGGAAAAGCCAAAATTTTCATCAAATCTATTTAATCATATCCCCACATCAACAAGCAGCAAGAACCCAATCTAGAAGTTCAACAGAACACCCGTAATCCATATCAAACACCAATATCGCCAAGTACGACACATAACCAGCGACTGAAAAGATATAATATATATCTGCTTCAGGATGCAAAAAAATAAGTTCGCTCAGGATGAAAAGAGGCACCTTCAACGTAGAACCACTCCCAAACTCGAGCAACTTGCAAGAGAGCGGCATAGCGCAGGAAAAATACCTCGAAATCAAAGTATAGTTGACCAATCTAGAGGAGTTCAGAACGCAGATCGGAATCACAAGCGGCAGCAACAAAGCCGCCGAGAGAACGACGGCAAGGCAAAAAAACCCCGAGGAGCACGCCGCAAGAGGGATGGGAATTAGGGTGTTTGTCTGCAGTGTGTGGTCTTCTCACTGACAATGTATTCATAATCACCGCAACGGGTAAGAATCCGGTCTTTTTCTTGAGATTCGTGAAAAGAATCAGACGTCTACGACGACAAATACTCGTCCATTCTCTACACACAGTCAGTCCTTTGGGCAAGGCATCCTCTAATTGGAGCATCCATGGGTCCCATTTGTAAGACCATCTCTATATCCAATAAAGAACAGGTACGTGGTTCCGTGGATCCACCCTGTGATCGGACCAAAATATTCCATGGTCCTTTTCTAGAGTTACCCACGTATTCAATTCATAATAACGACGATACCATTCGCCTCTCATCCCTGTCATCGTTCTCGGAGCGAAGGCTCAGCGTCTCAGGATTCACCATGGGATTGGTTGATGTTGTATATGAACTGCCAAGTGATTGCTTGGGCATTGTTAACGTTCATGTGTCTATATCTAATGCAAATACAGGTTTCATGATGAAATAAAAGATGATGACTTTCGAAGCAGCAGTTTCAGGCAGAAGTCATTGTGCTTTGTAGTGGCAGGAGAGATGCCAATGATGGGCATAATGACAAGGTCTTCATTCGTTTACCTCTTTGTTTATTGTCATGCTTATCATCTATTACCCATTAATTAGCAACAGAAGGCTTGGCAACCTCCCTTTCTATATGAAAGCTTATTACTGATTGGTCTGTCATGGATACCTAAAACAAGAAAGGATACATTCATACCTTCCACCCTATGGTGGCCTTCATAAAGAGTTCATCCACTAGAAATGATAGCATCAGTAAAGGATGGTTAATCTTATTAGAATTAGTCTAAACCATGCTGGTACTTACTGTGCCAACCTCCTAATACCGAAACATTTGATCTAAAGCCACCGAAAGGCAGCAAGTAAAGTACTACTGTGCTTCTTCCCTCAAAATATTTTAAGAGAGCATGAATCACTAGCATACAAATAACTTGTTCCCTTCATTGAATGATCAGCTATGGCGTGCAGTCATGTCCTGTCACGGTCCACAGAGCTTATGGAAGTGAAGGAAATGTGTAGGGGACCCTGTTCATCCCGTCCCTCTGCCCCATGCTCCCTGCGCAAGCCAAAGGCCTCGTTGAGGGTATCCTGAGGCAGCTAAGCCCGCCTCCCGGAATCCCCATGCACTCCGGTGGAGGCCGCTGCATGTCGCTCCCAGGAATGCAGTTCCCGGAGAAATCAAACCACACGTTCCTGAAGAAGAGTCTCGCGCAGTCCAGGCTGAACCCGGAAAAGAAGTTGTATGCAACAGTGAGGTTTGCCAGGCTCCTCAGATCACAGACCAGCTCCGGTAACTCCCCCGAGAACTGGTTGTGAGCGATGTTGAGGACCTCAACCTCAGAAAGGCATGACAGCGAGCTAGGAAGATGGCCTGCGAGGGAATTGAAGCTCAAGTCCAGCACTTCTACGTCGGTTAGATATCCGACCCCCTCTGGAATGCAGCCTGTCAGCTTGTTGTTGAGGAAGAGAACCTCTCTGATCCTGGAGCTCATGTATCCGAAGTTGAATGGAATGGACCCAGAAAACTGATTGTTAGCGAGGGTGATGACGGAGGCCGGGGAGGCCCAAAGGGTCATCGGGATCTGACCTCCGAACTGGTTGTTGTTGAGGAAAATGGCATCCAAGTCCTTCACGAAGAGCTCATCCGGGACTTCGCCGGAGAAGCTGTTGAACCTGAGGTCCAGGTAGATGAGGTTTGGTATGAGAAGCGTGGAAGTGGGGAAGGGGCCTGAGAACCGGTTGTTGCTGAGATCCAGCTCCGAGAGGTAGTGGAGCTCTCTGAAGGAGTCCGGGACTGTGCCTGAGAACCTGTTGCTGTTGAGGTGGAGAAAGGAGAGGTGGTCGAGCAGGGCGAGCTCCTTCACCAAGGAACCTTCGAGGTTGGCATGGTTGAGATCTATTCCTGAGACCACTCTGAAGGATGCAAAGATGGGGACTTCAGGCGCGTATGAGCAAAATACACCTCTATAAAAGCAGACATCAGGGCCAAGCCAACTTGCAAGGATCCCATATGGGTCATCCGTCATGGCTGATCTCCAAGCTTGAAGAGCTGTGTACTCTCTGTTGCCATTGGGATCTTGAGGGTAGGATGATCGTGTTTCGGTGGTGCTACCGCCTCTACCATTGAACCAGACTCCACCACCACCCGTCCCAACGAATGCTGAGGATTTTGGAGTGAATACCTGTAGAAAAACAAGGGCCATAGGAAACCTGAGTCTCTGCATCTTCAAAGGAGGGAAAGAAGAAGGATTTCAGAGAGCTCTGGGTAATTTTCAGAGTTGTATGACATGACTGGTTTGTGATGAATGTGCTGGTTGATGGGATGTTTGACTCCTTGGACGTGGTTGCTTGAGCTGGAGTGGACTTGTCTGGCACTTGGCATCAACCCACTGGCAGGGGTCTTAAACCAGCCTTAGCTTCTGCAATGGCTGGGTCAAAGGTTTAAGCCTGTGGGGTACTGGTGTTTATGAACTCAGGCAGAGGAACTCCTGGGATATGGCTGATGGTGTACAATACAGCTGCATCAGTCAGAAGAATGGCTACGCCATCTTCAGTGAAGACAAATCAAGTTACCTGTGTTGTTTGATGACACCAGCATATACTCGATCAGCATGAGCAAATCTATCCCACTAATTGCCTTAAGATCGCATGTTTCAGCTATGCTTTGATAGGGAGACATGGAAAGTTGTAGAATAAGTGTCCGAGCTCATCATTCAGACCGTTGATTTCTTCTGGAGATGCAAATAGAAGGATCACTATAAGCTGGAAGCATGACAATAACTCAGCGTGCTCCATGAACAATCACTGTACTGATGCTGAAGACTCCGGAGCTGTTCTTTATACATGGTATGCACTGTTCCAAGCTCTTGCCACATCTGTTTGATCTTGTGAGTGGTGCATGCGCATTGTGCGGTGGGCAGCGATAGTGTTCCCCACTGCACGGTTGTGAAAGCATTCCATGATCTTCTTCTCTCTCAACTTTTTCTGCTGCACCTCGGCCAGCCTTTCGAGGTCGCATAAAAGGCTAGAATTTATAGATCCAAGCATGTTCGTATGCTTCTTCTTCTTCTTCTTCTTTCTTTCCTTTTTATTCTTGAGACTTCATCTTAAACCCAAGATGCTTGCATCCGTTGGAAGAAGAGAGCCCTTTTAGCTTGATCTTGCTATGAAAATGTTCTCACATCTAGTTGATCTGCCACAGCTCGTGTGCTGACTCTCGTTGGGTTTAGGAAGTCAGCTTTCCTTGTGGCAAGCAGCTGTCGTTTTCATTAGCTGTATGACTTTGTTTTCTTCCTCTAAAATTCCTCACATCGATAAATGCACTCATCATTCAGGGACTGATGCTGCTTCCACTTGATATTGATGGACAGCCCATTTGCTTGAAATAGCTCTCCGAGCATAAATAATGGATGTGAGAGTGGCTATACTGAAGTTGGTGCTCCTGCTATTCTATAACATGGCAAATTCTTTATGATGCAATGATTCTGCTTTCTGACCTATCAATGCATGGAGCAAAGGCGAAGAACTTTCAGGAACCAACCTTTATATTGTTAGTGTTTTCCTATTGCACTTGGACTCCTTAGTTCACTGTATCAGATGACGATTCAACACCACAGAAAGGAGGAATCATACTTCGCCATCTGAGCTTGATGAGTCACCAAAATGTTCTTGAGCAATGCTGTGGAACATGCATCTGATGCCATTACTGTGGCTTCTTTCCATGGACAACCCTATGCTTCTAATGGCAGCAACTCTACTGTGCTCCTTCACAGTCTGCAAACCAGGTTGTGTGCATGTACCAGTTGATGATTCTTTCAAAGCTTTTTGTGAGGTGTAGGTCATGGAACTTCATGTGCTTTGCCCTGCTCCAAGACTCCCAAGGTTCTCTCAGAACACCGAGGAAGAACAAGAGCCCTTCCTAAAACCACTAGTTGCTGGTGCTGTTCTTAGGTTCATCTGCTGGGAATCTTAATCATCTGCATTTCTGTGCATTTATGTGCTCTTATGAGGTTCTGATCTATTGCATTTATCCTAAAAAAGGAGAATTTTGGCACACTGTGGGAGTTAATTTTGGCACACTCGAATCCTATATTATCAGATGAAATGTAATTAATTGACTCTTTGCTAGCAAGCTAAATTATCCCTTTGTCAAATCCAATCATTAATGCATTCCTTCTGGCTATATAAAAAAATTATGATATATTATATATATATATATATATATATGATGAGAAATTTCATGCATTTTCAATTTAAAACAAAAAAGTATATATATACATATATATACATATACATACATACATACATACATATAC